AAACACAGCGATCCAAGACACATTCATTGATGATCTTACTCCCCTCAAAATCGAAGGATTAAAATCAACCTGTCTGCCCTTCTGGTCATAGAGCTCGTCCAAGACAAATTCTCATTGTTCAGCTATACTACGGGTGGCCAGCAAGCAGTCCTACGGCTGAACGTTTATAACATATTGAACCGACTGAAAGTTCGGTCCCGTATCACAAAGGATGGAGAAAGACTAGAGTAGGGCATCATTGTGCGACAAAACCTATCACAATATTTAACATGTCATCTAGACGTGTCGTAAACTCTGAAACATTCAGCTTGGAGGGCAAAGGTAATGCATTCGCACATATCCATACGAGGTAAATCTATCCAAAAATGACATGTTGGGTACTAACCTAATGAACTGTTTCGAAGTAACCGTCCATACCAATATCCCCAAAGAAGGCATGGAAAAATTTTCGGTCATTTTTTTACCCTTGAACAAAAGATGATCACCCATGGATGAAAATCCATACGGTGTTATATGAACCGTATCATGAAACAGGTGGAGAATTATATCATTCACGCAACCTTCGAAGTCAAATGCAATGAAATGCACTTCTGAAACATTGCACAAAGATACACACCATCTTGTTACGATCTTGAATAAAGGTTCATAATTGTTACCGTTACTTTAATAGTGTTTGTGCCTTTAAATAAACTCTGAGATGCTTATTCCATTGTAATGAATCAGTAAAATTGGACAAAGTACTGGCGCAAGAAATCGAAGGAAACGACGAGTGTTTTATTAAAGGTAGTTATTAATGTATATGGACTTCCCAACGCATAACAAACTATAGATAGTCGAGGGCAGTATTTCTACATTGTTCGCTGCAATTGCATAATTTGTAGGGAAACGAGAGTACCAGATGACAGTCAGTTTACCACTGCCCTGAATAGAACCTTATTTGTGTCGTGAGTAGGAATTTGAAAAGATATACACGTGGGAAAAATCGTAAAATGATCGTTGAGACAGCTCTTTCATTAACGTTTCACCGATTTTCATTCGTTTACCTTACCTTACACAACATAAACAGTGCCATTTGTTCTAACGGCCTATCATTCCGTCTTTGATGAATCGAAATCTCGAAATTACGGATCAAATGTTACTAAATTTGGATACTTCTTTCTGAACCTTCTCCAATGGAGAACTTAAAGCAAATTATGTCAGGTGTACACTTAGTTCACTGTAAGTGTCTTCCGGTGCCAAAAGCATAAATAAAATGACCATCTGAAACTCCATTGGTGCACTTCGCTGTGCACTGGAAACAATAACAGAGAAGTTCCTCATCAATTGGCGACAAGTTGAATGAACGAAGTTTTCTCATTCTGAAATTTATTCTGAAATTCTGACTATACTCCTGGCTTTCATTATTGATCCATTGCAAAACTGAAGCCACTTTAGAAAGGGTAGCACTTAGATATCCACAGCGGATCTAAAAGACAGCCAGACAACAAAAACGCAGCAGTGGTAAAACCCATCGTTGATAGGTGAAGAGCCCAAAAATACCAGTTTGAACTTTGCGTTTTGCATTTGCCCTTTTTGACTATGATATGACATCAGATAACTTCATCAATTGATAAGAAATAAGCATCATGAGGCGGTTCTTTATTACTCCATTGAATTAGGGATCATAAATTTCGAAGCAAATTATGAATAGCTGTATTATCCACCTGCCTATAGTTTATACTCTTTTCTTTAGCCGCCGATCTTTGCAGCTATGCGTTTCAAAAAGGCCAGCAGTTAAAATGATGCAGGATCTGATTCATGAATCTTCCTATCAAAAACAGATTAGACTTAAGCGAGACAATTTTGCTGTGTTTCAGAGCGGTAGCTTTCATGTTACTACCTGCATGGA